CCCCAAAACCCCAAAACCCCAAAACCCCAAAACCCCACTTAATCTTCAATAGTTGAATTATAATTTGTCCGTAATTTATAAATTATGGTGAAGGTAGGCACTACTGTGATTGCCTAGTAGCTTTACTGAGATTAACATCGAACTCTCACTGAGGCATGATGATCGAAGGCATCTTCTTATGGGATCCATGAAACTGTCTTGGCTCATCAAAATGAGATATACTCTTTTTACTCCGGAAATTATCTGCCTTCAATAATTCAGAAAAATTGTTAGTCTTTGAATTTTGGTCTGTTGAACTCCCTCGAAATGCTGAAAGTCAATCAAAGTTTAGAGTCTTGATACAATCTGGCTTTTTAATTTTTTTCTGTTTTCCTTGAGCAATAGGCTCATAACTAGTTTCGTATGAAACAGAAGGAACATGACTCGATACATCAATAGAATCATCCATCTCCTTCTTTTTGTTACGGATTTGGTTATGATCAATTTCAATCTTAGATGCTTCTGAGTTTATTATTCCTTCAAATCGTTCTGTTGGAATTTTGCGTATCTTCTTATCAAATATATCCTGCAGGGGAATCCCTTCTTCTTGAGCGCAATAGAATAGATATAATATCTTATTCTCTCTTTGCCTTGTGTATTTAATTTTATCCATTAACTCCTGGATTTCCTCTTCTAGCTCATCATTCTTTTGCTTTAAGGAATACACATCGTCTATTTCTGGAAGTGATGCAGATGATTTAAGAGCCTCTACCTGAGCCTTTAAAGCATTATTTCCTAAAGCTAACTCATGGATAGACTTGGTTAGTCTAAATCATTCAGAATCAAGACTTACTGCTGGATCTCCTTCGATTGCTCTACTAGAGCATCTAGATGTTTTAGCTTCTGTTTTTCATGCTTTTCCTCAAAATCTCTGATCATTTCATTGATCGTACGTGAACAATCTTTGAGAAGCTCTTTTACTATCAAGTTTTAGCATGAAGAAGCTTACTTTGAGAAGTGCTCAAAGTGACCTGACCAATTCCTATTTTTTGGCGTCTTTCGAATGATTCTGCCAAATTGGATATTTCCATGCTAAAAAGTTTTGGATCCTGCATAGAATTGTACGATAATTTGGTCAACAAATCTCATGAACAGAAGCTCCCATGCTTGGAATTTCTCTTGATTCATTCGCTACATTTGAGACTTCTCTCGGGATCTGTGCCCATATTTCATGTTTGAGTGGGCTTTCTCTGAGAAGTGAAATTTGCATTTAGGCTATTTGCTGACTTTTCTAAATAAATTTTAGTAACATGTGGAAGCAGAAAATACACCAGAATGTCTCAGTACCTCTATTCAAGCTCTTGATGTTCTTGAATCATTCTGTAGCTATAGAGATGCATAAGTTTGGTCTAAAGCTGTTGATCTTACCTTTCTCCATGTTAATTCTACTTTTAATAATCTTCTTAAGCTTCTTGCTAGTCTTGATCTAAAGGTTAAAAATTTACTTACATGGTATTTAGGAGTGAGTACTGAAGGCAGATTTGTTTTTGAACCTTGCTTCTTCACCCTGTGTCTTCTTGCGGAAGTCTTTAAGATTTCTACCTTTATTCCGCATATAGCGACTTCCTAGACTTGCTTGGGAGCTGTCTTTGATAAGTTCCTTGATATCTTCAGCACCAATGCTCTTCTTAATAGACTTGGTAAGCGAATATCTCTTCTCTAAGAGTTTAAACTTTCCTGTGGGTTTCTTAATACTCATCATCTTATTCCTGAATGGAGAGAGATCCTTGTTGAATTTTTGGGATTTCAGAGTTGGTAGCGGGGACGAACTCTCACTGATATGACATTAAAAATAGTTCTACCATGTTTGGGAGTAAAAAAAAAGAAAATATTATTCAAAATTGTTCTTAAACAAGACTTACTGCTGTCCTGGATACACTGGAGTCTCAAACCTCTTGTTTCACCCTAAAGCACCATTAAAACCTCTCTCATCCAAAATCCACCCTCCCCATCAAATAATCCCACCCATACTAACCTACTAAAAATGTTGTCCAAACCAAATCTCCTCAAAAACCCTCTCTTTCCTCACCCACAACCTAAACCCAACCCCTAGAGGTAAAACAGGCCGCTGTTTGCTTAAAATCTATTTCTAGGCCTCTCAAAGGCCTCTAAAACCTAACTTACTATAAAAACTTGCCATCTCAGCTCCTGATAGCAATTCAATTAATAATTTATAGAAGGGGTTTTGGGGTTTTGGGGTTTTGGGG